GCATTCCTAATGAGGTTGCACTTGTGAAGCTTGCAATTTAGTGGATTCCTATAGATAAACCTCGCAAAATATAACTGGAGTCTTCAAAAAAAAAAAAAAAAAAAAAAGAAAAAAAAGAATGATTTGTGATTTTGGACATATATGTCCACATTAGAAAAAAAATACTAAACATGTAATTCGCATTGAGTGTCAATAGATATATTAAGGTTTTCGGGGTCGCTGAATTCGAATTTGAAGTCTGATTTAAAAAATTCAAAATGGTGGACCCAATATGGCGAAAAAATTTAAAATTGATTTAATTCATTCAAAATTCGGTACTCGGGGGTTTTTGGGGTCGCTAAATCCAAATTTAAGCTCAAATTCAGATTCAGCGACCCAAAAAAAACCCAAGTAACGAATTTTGAACGAATCGAATCAACTTTAAATTTTTCCTCCATATTGGATCCGCCATTTTGAATTTTTTAAACCTGACCTTAAACTTGGATTCAGCGACTGCAAAAACTTTTAATACATACATATGATATTTTTTCGGAAAAATTTTTTTTGAACCGTTTTGGACCCACAAACGATTTTTCGACTAGACTGCGAAGGGGTTAAAAGAATTTTCATTTTGTCAAAACAACTCGAATAGAAATTTTGTCATGGTCCAAACCTGGGCCAAATCTTGCGTCCATAAAATTGGCATGAAATGCCTTGCCCGATTTGAGCCACAAGATGATGCCACTTTTTGACGCTTCCCAGGTCGGGACCATATTGGGTCAGGCGTTTTAAGACATTTTTGAGCCGAATATGGCAATTCCTACAAGGGAATATTAGAAAAAATTCTTTTCTAGCCGAATTTTCATTTGTTTCGATTTACATTTTACAAAATTCTCAAAATGACGTATTATGGCTATGGTAACGGTTGCTATGGTAACTGTTACCTTATGAAACTATAAGGCTTTCGGGCCTGAGCCACGAAACCCTAAAAAACTAAGAAAAATTTAAAATATCGAAAAATGGTTAAAAGTGTTTTTTTGTTTTATTGTGAACTACAGATTTTTATAAAAGTTTTATCATTTTAAAAGATCAATGAAATTTTTTTTCTCACAGATGACCTGGACTGATTCTTTAAATATTAATTCTGTAATATGTAATAACAATTCGGTTAAATGGAATTTCTGTTAAATAATTATTCGAACAATAAAAATTCGGCATAAAGTAAATTCTGTAATAGGTAATGAAATTCTAACAAATTAATTTTAGAGCTTATTCATGCGTCTCGTAAATTTACTCACCAATTAATCTGCTTCAAAGTAGCTTTAATATAAAGTTTGATAATTCTATTAACAAAGGTAACATTGGTATTTGTTAGTGGGTGTATCAAACTTTATTTTAAAACTAATTTATCGGTGAGCGAATTTACCCTACATAAAACCAAAATAACGCCATCTTATGGTATACATGCTTATATCGGAAATTTTTTCTGATCCCTTCAGATTTGATATACGTGGGTTTTACTGCAGTTTTAATATTATTTTAAATTAAAATAATACATTATTATAGAAAATTAAATTTTTTTTTGTAAATGTGAATTTTTGTATGAAAGAGCAATGACTCTTTATGTTTATTTTTTTCTTTAAATTAAAAATATTTAAAGAAACATTTTTAATAAAAATTTAATACTCTTGAAACCCACACCTATGTAATAAATGTAAATTTTCGTAATAAAATCGGAAGACGGATTCAATCAATGTGATTGAAAGCTCGAAGATAAGGTGATTGAAAGTTTATAAACATATAGATTTTACTATTAATATAACTATTTTTAACGAGTAAAAATGTGATAAATTTATGAAAGAAGCAGGAAAATGATAGTAGAAAATTGTAAGAGAAAAAATTTATATTTTTCAATAAGAAAAATAATTTTAATTAAGTTTTTATTTATAATTTATTGAAAAAATTATTGCACAAGATGCATTCATTTTGATATTATTTTTAACAAATCAATTTTTAATAAACAAGATCAATACATCAATTTTTAATTAAATTACACTTTTAAATTGTTATTAATTAATTCATTTTCATCAACATTCTAGAAAAATATCGATTTCATACATATAAATATAACAATTTTAATAAATATTAAACTTTTTGATTTATTATCAATGATCGTGAAAGCGTGTACTTTTGAAACAATTAGATCATCGTGAATAATTAATTTCAATGAAAAAGATAGTCAGAGAATGTAATTTATTTGAAAGGGATAAATGTCAAAAGATCGTATAATTAATTTCAAGGGAATAAATATTGCTAATGATTTTAATTAATTTTCATGGAGTAAATAGACAAAGATTATAATTAGTTTCTAAGAAATGAATATAGCCAACGAATATAGAGCAGAAAGAATATTGAGAAACGATCTTTGAGATGTAATAAAGAACCTTTATTTGGGAAAATTATATTTTAAAATCTACAGCTTTATGAAAAATTCGTACAATCTCAGGAAGTAATTTTATAAATTGGAATACAATAGAGTTTTTATTTTTTATATTTATATTTTTAGCTTATGGTTGTGACGACCAAAAATTTTATTGGGTCAATCAAAAAAAATTTTTTACAAATAGATGGTATCGGGGTACTATCGAGATAGTACCAGGTACCATATTTGATCTGACATATACGGACAGCTATCTAGATTCTATCAGTTACACTGAGAAAAAAAATTTAGTGTTTGCAACAAAATTGTTTGGTTAGGCAATTTTGGTTCTTGTAACCAAATTTTGGTTAGCTGAAACAAAGTCGTAGAGTTATCTCAACCAAACATTTGGTTAGGCCAACCAAATTATTTGGTTGAACATTTTTAAATTCCAACCAAAATTTGGTTGCGACAACCAAATAATTTTATTTGCTCTCAGTTTATAGCTTAAGAGAATTGTTAGTTTCAATCTCTCACAAGGATGGGTAGTCCAGTGGTCAGAACTCCCGACTTTCAGTTTTAAAGCAGGTTCGATCCCTGAAAAGATTTTTCAAAGTCCACAAATATTTCAATTGGATAAATATAAATTCAATGTCAAATTGATAATAAATAAATAATGAAATAAATAAAAGAGATAAAAAGAAAAGAGATAAGGTAGAATAAAATTTTTAATTTTACAAAAAAACTGTTTGTTTGATCAACCAAACATTTTTGTTGACCTAACAAAAAAAAATTTGGTTGAGCTAACCAAACATTTTTGTTATGCCAACAAAAAACACTCAACCAAATTTTTTGGTTGACTCAAATAACCAGTTTTGTTGCTTAAATACCAACAAAATTTTTTTGTTGGCCCAACCAAATTTTGGTTGCTCTGAATAAACATTTTTCTCAGTGTGTATACTATCTAGATTGTACGGAGTAACATCTTGATTAGTGGGTAGCATAACTATACTTTTTGTAACATCTTTGATAGTACCGAGTAGCATAATGTTGGTACCGGATAACATCTAATTTTTACCATATCATAATAAATTCTTACCATCTATTTCTCGCCGTGATTTAGAATATTACTTTTTCAATGTATCAATACGAGAATTTCTATGATTTAAAGAATTCTTATTTTATTTAAATAGATAATGGTTAAAAATCAAAATTTTATATAAAACGTTATGATACAGGCAGTAATTTTTTTTTTATTTATGCCAATAATGTTTTTATTCTTCCCAGAATAAAATAACACGATTAACGTTTTATAAGTTTTCAAACTTTTGAATGAAATTTTCTAAAGGCTTTTGACGTATACCCTCACTTTATGTATGTGACGCACAAGAAAAGTTGTATATCGAGTATATGAAAAAAAAAATTAAAGGAAATCTTTAGACACTATTTAATATATATATATATATATATATATAGCAACTCACACATATACGTGACTTACTAATTTTAGATCTCTAGTGTTGACATATGTTGTTACATGATGCAAACGTCATGATCTTTAACTGAATAACTGCGGTTACACGATTCATTGACCTATGGGGTTTCCAAAAGTAAAAATGAAACTGTCTTCATTATATTTTTACATTCAAAATGACTCAGTTCCTGTTTTTATATGCTCAAGACGACAATAAGGTTTCGACTGTTTTTCTAAATTTTTTTCAAAGACACATTTTTGTACATTATAAAAAATGAGTTCATTTTTATCTGCCATCGATTACGTTGTAGATCAAATATATATATATTGAGTTCAAGGTATATTGAAAATTATTTTCAGTCTAAAAATTTTCTGAAAACTAGAGAAATAAATAACTAATATAAAAATTGTAATATATAAGTTAAATTAAATTTTACATTAGAAAACGTGAATTACTTTAAAAATGGATTTTAACCGTTAAATTATTAAGGAAAATTTTTAAGTATTCCTTATGCTTTTAATTTAAGTTGTTATAGGAAAGTTAATGGACCATTAGCATTATGTCGATAACAGAAGCACTTCCCTTAATGAGCGTTTCATTCAAACTGTGCGAATAATATAAAATGATTATAACGCAGCGTAAACGTAATATTAATTTTCGCACAAGGACAAAAATATAAAAGGGAAGATTTGCGGTATGATTGTGATGGAAGGTCACATCTTGGATTTTCAGTAAATATATTCTCCTTAAGAGTTATTGCGCTTTTTGCTTCAACTATTCGTGATTCGGGTATTTTCAAATTTTTTGAGAAAACTAGGTCATGTGTATACTGCAATCATTACCATTACTGTTTATGTATGTTGGTGCTTTTCATAAAAATACAAATCCGTCGTTTCAAAAATTCGTCCTTTTTTAAAATATGCAAACAGTTGATGATGAATAGTTGAGAAATTATTCAGATAATATTATGAAATATAAAATAGAAAATGAATAATAAAAAATTTAGAAAAAGAATAAATTTCATATATATTTTTCGTATTTTTATAATTTTAATATTCCTCTTATATTTGAAATGTATATGTAAATTGTTTTATTTATTTATTTTCATCTGCTTTTCTTCATTTCAGGTATTTTTCTGTGTGTGTATGTGTTTTATTAGACTCGTTGGATGTATTACGTCTGAGAGAAAATTTGTTTGCTCTATACACGACTTTGGAGATCGAGGTCAGTAGCAGTAGTAGTTAGTTTCAAGAAACGGGAGAGGAGAAAATTTTTTCGCAGTGAGTTTTTGAATAATTTCTTTTCAAAATTGTTGTATTCTTTTTTTTTAAATTTAAATCAGACTTTTACAATAGAAACGATTTCAAATTTTTAGATGTCAAAATCAATATCATAATCTTAGTTTGAATTTAAAAAATAAATATATTGAATAGTTTAAATTCTACGAGCTTTTAAATCCAAATGCTCATGGTAAAATGACTTTTTTGTTTTGATAAAAAAGTTGATTTTTGTTTGAAAAGATTAAAATAGTACAAAAAGAATAGTGTTCTTTCATGTCTGGCATAAAGTAAAAAAAAGGAAAGTAACAAGTTTTTAAGACCTTTAGAATTGCTCACTGCATTTTGCGTTTAGTTGCGGTAAACTGAAGGGAAATGTTTGGATTTATATTCCACATATTCTTTGAAATGTGTAAGTTACTGTTGAGTTTACTTTGCAAGATAAAAAGTGAATCTTTACTTTTATTATACTGGATAATCCAGGAAATTTATTTTTAATTAAAACATAAATTTTCAAATTTAAGCTTGATACTTTTGTTTGAAAAATTAAAACATTATTTAGATTTATTCATATAAGTTTTGAATCAATTAATATAATGTTAAAATAATTTTATTAAAAAACATATTAAATAATTTTTTCCTCAAAAATAAAAATTTCTTCAGTGATTCCATAATTAAATATTCAAATATTAGGTGAAATAGTTAATAATTTAATAATTGAAAAACCGTCAATTGGAGCTATTTTGGTACACTATAGAGGCCCTTATGGTACACGCTAGATTTTAATTAATTTGTAAAATATTCATTTCAAAATGTTTAAATTTAGCTCTTTCTATAACTGTATATAGTTCGATATTTCTTCAACAAAATAATTAGAAGAATGTTATTATGTGAATTCGCTTTTAATAATCTGACAAAAATTATTAAAGAAAAAAAATCTATTTTTGGAAATTTGATCAGTGAAAATTATAAAACATATTTTTTACTTTATTCCATTAATTGATTAACAAAAATAAATTTTGTATCATAATAGCTTCAATTGCGAGGCCATTATGGTACAAACTTTGAGTTTACATAACTGAGATTAAAAAAAATTTTATTAATAAAACGTACAGAGAACCTTTAAAAGGATGTCCATAACTATAAAAATTGTGATTTTTCTACGATATTGAGAGTATAATTGTTTTTGAATTATTAAATGAAAAATTGAAATATTGATTTTCAACTCACCTCCGTCTGCATATGTTTCGGAACCATATCCATCTTGTAAACCCTGGGCCCAAGTTCCTTCGTACCTTGCAGTAGAAGTCGTAGATTGTCTCACTCCATAGCGTCCTTTATAACCATTCGTCCATTCTCCACGGTAAAGCCAACGTCCACGGGTCTCCATTCCAAGACCGTGTCGTTTGCCATTTTGCCATTGTCCCTCGTAAAAGGAACCACTGTAATAAAATATACATAAAATCAGTTTAGAATTATTTTCATTTTTAAGTATTTTTATAAAGAAAGAAAAAAAAATTTTTACTGTCATATAACTAAGGAAAAGTTTATATGAGTTATTGTATATAATGAGGGATAATTAAAATTTCGTATATAGATACTAGTATCATAAATGTATAGTTATTTTGTCGATTAAAATCTATGTGGATCATAAATGGATATTGTTGAAAGTCGGCTGACTACACTCATACCTCTTTCACTTGATCTATAACTACTTCGTGTACATGAAAAGGAAGAGTATAATGCACTGGAGTACACAAAGAGGTTATCGACTACCAGACAAATACTTCAAAGTCTCGTAACCCTATTTAATAAACATGTATTCACATAATAGAAAATATGTTTGATAAACATTTACGACTACTATTTAGAGGTTTAATATCCTCGAAATTGGAGTTTGTGAAATATTCCCTCATTTTATTCAGCAATTAATTTATTACAATTTTAATTAGGCGTGATAACCTCACTAAATATATGACTGACAAGTTTGCTTAATCACTATTTATAAGCTTCTAGATTTTAAAATTAAAATTTTAAATCAATCATTAAAAATAAACTGAACCAAAATAAATCTATAAATTAAACCATTGGAGCTCTATTGTTTCAGTAATTGATCAATTCTATGGGATGTGTTCACAAGAATTTTTTATGATTGGTGCAATTTTATTAAAACCTTAAGAATATGTTCCTCTATTTCTACAGAATGAAAGCCTACAAAAACTTATTCAAATTTTTTTGAGATATCTCTAATTCAAAATTTATGTTATTTAAAAAAAAACCATGTAAGTTTTTTTTTTGTCATCCAAATGAGATCAATTTTTTTAAAATTTATCACACAAAGATGCTATTTTAAGAAAAAAATAGTACATGAAAAAAAAAAATTTTGAATTCATTTTTCGAAAAAACTACCTCTTCGAATTAAAATGATTCTTATCCAAAGATTATAATTGCAAATTTTTAATAATTATTTGACATAGAAACGTTTATATTTACGAAATTCAAAAACGAATTTAATCCAAAAAAATTGATTACTTTAATCTTTTATAATATTAATCTGCAACGCTTTTTAATACCTTACAGTTTTCTGTGTATAAAAAATAGTATTGCCACATATTTTTATTTTATAAAATTATAGTAGATAATAATAGTAATAATAATAATAATAATATAATAATAATCCAGTGTATTTTTATAAAAATTTTAAGTTTAATTTACATTTGATTGCTAGGTGGTCACTTCTAAAAAAAATTTTCTAATTTTTTTTAAGACATTTTTCTAACAAACTTAAAGTAATACATTTTTAATAGTATAATATTTTTAACATTATCTTACTTTCACTCAAAAATTTTAATACTTAACTGTCGCAGCAAACTTTCTTGACAGCTAAGCAAATTTATTTGCTGGTCCTATATTGTAAACGTGATTTGATGTGTCAGCAAATAGTTCGCTGCAATAGCAAACTTTTTCTATGCGTGTATAGGTTTTTTCAAATTCGCCGCCTTCCATGACATTTTAGCATAAAAATAGTTATTATAAAAAAGAAAGTGTGTAAAATTCTAAGTAATTTGATAAAAAATTAACCCTGTAGCACAAAAATTGACCGAGATATAGCTTCTGCAAAAAACTCATTTGTTTCGAGATTTTTGTCAAAAACCGGTATTTTTCAGTTTTTCCTATATAGCTTTAAAACTAATGATTTTTTGATAAAATGACCAACAGGAAAGTTAAAGCTGACTAAATTCATGACAATTTACAAAAAAAGAACAATGTAATAGCTTTAATAGTTTCTGAGATACAGTCTTTTAAAGTTGACCCTTTTGAGGTATTACATCTCATTTTATTACTATTGCGTATGTAAAATCTCAAAAGGGTTAATTTTGAGAGACTGTATCTCGGAAACCATTAGAGCTATTACATTATTCTTTTTTACAAATTGTCAGGAATTTAGTCGCAGCTTTAACTTTCCTGTTGGTCATTTTATCAAAAAATCATTAGTTTTAAAACTATATCACAGAAAAAACGCTGGGTAAATTTTGTTGCGGGTAATTTTAACTAATGCTAATTCACATAGACGGTGGCGCCCTCAACTAGGATAAAATTTGTTGCAGGTAATTTTTATACCGATTTTGGGGTAAAAATTCTACTTTTTTTCGTGTGATAGGAAAAACTGAAAAATACCGGTTTTTGACTAAAATCTCGAAACAAATGAGTTTTTTGCAGAAGCTATATCTCGGTCAATTTTTGAGCTACAGGATTCATTTTTTTATCAAATGACTTAGAATTTTACACACTTTCTTTTTTATAATAACTATTTTTATGCTAAAATGTCATGGAAGGCGGCAATTGGAAAAAAAACTAATTTTTTGCACCTATCTCTTAAAAAATTTTTATGTTCCGCTAGGAGTTCGAAGTACCAAATTTAGGTACTTTATTTTTATCCCAAAATGAAGGGTTTAAGCAAAAAAATTGAGGTCCTGAGTTAAAACATCTAAAAATGCTAATTTGACTGGACTAGTAGTGCAGTGGTTGTTAGCGTGTTGATTTCGAACTTGGGTGCTTATACGAATGACAAAAAACTATTTGTATAATTTCAATTCGAACTTACTTAGAAAAAATTCATTGGTGAATTTAAATTTATTAGAAAAAAAAATCTTCGAGTTTCAAATTTGTTAGGAAAAATAATTAGAGAAAAATTGAAAATATTTTTTAGATGAAGTGTTTCTCAATAATTTAATTAGAGAGTTATTTGAATAATTTTTTATTATTAATTTTAATATTTGATCTTTGACTTTATGAGAATATAATGTACGATGTCTTCGGTTTAGACTGAAAATTTTTTTTTTTTAAAACATTTAGCTTTTTTTCTTATATTATTATTCCTTCATGAATCATAAACTTAGCGTTGTCTCCTGAAATCTTTACAAGAGACACTCTTACCTATATGTGTATATGGCATCGCGACTATATGAAAATGAAAAATAAATAAAACTCTCTTTGAAGAAAAACGATTTTTGAACATTTAACAGATTTCTCCTCATTAAATCAAAAAAGCGAAACGTATTTCGTTTCCGTGACAAAAACGATAATATCCTATAATACTAACGGTAAATTTCATGTTTGCGTATCAGGAATAATCATCAAATATAATACTTTTATATATGTATATAAACTCAATTGCTCCATTTTAAAATTGATATTTCTTTTTAATTTTCCGTGAAATAGTTTTTTAAAATCTAATCAAATAGCCGTTTTTACAATCAAGCTTTTTATATATATATATATATAATAAATAAATTGTAAAGCCCGCGACATGACAGTTCATTAACTTATTAGACATCATCGATTTTATCCGCGATCAACCTTGAAAATTGCGCAAAGTTCAAGAGCAATTTCAGGATTACTGCGCGCGATGCTAAATCTTCATTTATATAATATTATAACATATGTGTATTATATGATATGGCTTGTCATTCTTCAGATGTCTAATTATCCAATGTCTTATAATCATATCCATAGGAAAAAATCCTTATGACCTTGAACTATTATGTGTCACGGCAGAAATCCCTCTAACCCGGGCTTGTTGTCCTTGCACTGAATGACCTACTTTCAGGATAGCAAGAGTCTCCCGCGTGTTCCAGGTATATACCGGTATACGTGTCAAGGTCTTTCACTCATCTCAAATCGGCGGCACCCTCCCTCAAATCAACTCGACGAAGCGAAAAAAAGAAAAAAGAAATTACAACACGTGTGCGTCCGGTGTTACGCAAACTGTCACTCTGGAATCCCATAAACATTCTTCAAGGCCAAGGGTTACAAACCCTATCCACTTTATTATTTCTTTAGACGTTAAAAAATCTTTTCACTTTATTCCAATACTCACAAAATCAGGACAAAAAAAAAGGTTTTTCCTTCAATAGATAAAAAAAATAATTCCTCCATTCAATTTTCCTCCAAACAATACACGTGTATTATTATTGTTTTCTTTTAAATATTACTACAGGAACTACTATTATCTGTTATAAAATATATTTTTCTCTAAAATATTATATAATATAAAATTTCTAAGGAAATTTTAATTGACTTCAAAAAACTTTATTGTTTTTGTTAACCCTTTGCACCAGAGTTGCTTTCAGGCAATATGAATATTTTGTTGTTATTTTCTGCATATAAGTTCCTTGATTTTTGAAACTAAATTTTGGAAAAATATTTTTCATTCAGTCTAGTAAATTTCTAATTCCAAACTCTTGTTTTGAGACAAAAAACTTTAATTAGTTTCGCTGAAAAACTTGTTTAAAAATCAAAAATCGTGAGATTTTTTAAGAAAAAATTTGGTCCTCAATAAAAGGTTAATAAATTTTATGAACGTATGAAACAAAAATTAAAAATCGTTTTTGTACACGGAGAGAAGAGATTTAGTCTATTCTACTAAACACGTTTAGTCCAGATTCTACTAAACAGCGTAGTCAGAGGGACTACTATAGTTCTGACACACAAAAAAATTTACCGACAGAATAAAAATTCACAAATCTGATTGGTTGTCCACAATTAACCAGATTGCGGACAACCAATCAGATTTCTACATTTCGTTTCTGTCGGTAAATTTTTTTCTATCGATAATCGTGTAAATTTTTTTACTAAACAGTATCGTTCATTTAACTGAATGTTTAGTCCGTCCAAAATGAACGATACTGTTTAGTAGATTTAACTGAGATAGTAGTAAGATCTACTACGCCCTTCTCTCCGTGTATACACTAAAAAAAATGTATTTGATTTCAAATAATAATCGGTTATTTGTCTATTATCAAATAAATATTGAAACAAATAATTTTTGTTTGAATGGACCAATAATTTCTGTATTTGAAAGAAATACCATTTAATTGACTCAAATAATAATAATTTTTTAATATAAATATAAATATTTATTTGATAATAGACAAGTAAA